TTTGGAGGGAAACGGTGCTTTTAGGGTATAAGAGAGGGAAAGTGAACAGATGGGTCATTATCTTTCAACCGCTCATTTGCCTAGGGTTTCAGTCAGTCACAGTTTCCTAGCAATGAAGTCGTTTCTCTCCGGTCTCTCTCGTTTTGTTGGTGCTCCGGTCAGTACGGCCGTTGATGAAGCAGCCCCGGCTCTTGCTGGTGGCTTTGACAACCTCGGATCTTCCGACTGCTTGGCCATCGTGTCGTATGTCCCCAAGATTCCTCCTCCAGCCGACTCGGTGTCTCGTGTCGCTTCGCCTCTTCGCGCGTCTTCACCAACATCGCGACATGCAGAATCCTTTGCGCAGTCTCGGAGTCGTAGCCGATCTCCTTCTCTGGAATTTGTCTCTGCCAAACAACCATCTGTCTCTAGTGCTCGCGCCACCCGTCGAAGCAAGTGTCGCATCAAATCTGAGTCTAAGGAAGATGAATCGTCGCCAGTCGAACCCTTGAAGAAGAAGAACCGACCATCGAAGAAGAAGGCTCCCTCCTTGCCTCCTCAGTTCGATGAGTCTTGTTTTTCGACTCAGCAAGCCAGTGATCGCTTCGATTTATTTCTCAATCGGAACTTTCTTGCTGAGCGTGAGGTTGATCTGAAATCACTTTCCGCCGGAGTTGAGACCAGCATTCAGGAGGCTGGACTGATTCCGACTGTCTCCGGGATCAATCGCTTTCAACCCACGGTGGTTCGCGAGTTCTGGGCACATCTCCCTGATAACAAGATCTCTGATGGTGAAGTTCGGCTGTTCTTGCGAGGTAATGAGTATGTCTTCTCCCCGGTTGTCATCAATCAACTTTTTGGGCTTGAGTTAATGGTCATGGAGAGTGTCAATGTGGGGGAGGAGTTACTTTCTGATGATCAGCTGGCGATGTTTATGAGTGGTGGTAGCGTGAGTGTGTGGGAAAATTTGGCGTTAGGTCATTATCAGTCTGACAAGTGGGCTCTCTTCAAGATCAGCTGTCACAACTGGATACCCACGTTCAACACTGGTTTCTCCAACAAGAATCGTGCTCGCCTGGTGCACAAGATTCTCACTAAGGTTCCTTTTGACTTTGGTGAAATGGTGTTTGACCACATCCTCAGTCTTGCAAGGCATCCGGGATCTAAGTTTCTTCTGCCGTATCCGAGTTTAATCTACAAGATGATCCAGCGTCAGGGACCCATTCCTATTGATTCTGGTGTTCGGATGGATCATGTGCTGGCGTTTCGTGCACCTCCTGTGATCAGCGTGAAGAATGAGGGCAAGCCAGATGGTGTGGAAGTTGCTACGCCCTCCACTGCCTCTCTGGTTGTTACGGCTGCCGATCGTCGTGTGCTGACACAAGCCGTGTCTATCATCAGCAGACTACTTCGGGGAGGTAAATTTTTCTCTGATCTCTTCTCTGTTGCCTGTTCACCTAATGTTTTTGACTTAATTATGCTCTTAAGCAGGGGGAGATTCACAGGACAATATGGGGGAGCAGGGTTAATAGGGGAGAAGTGAACTAAATTTAGTTTTCTGTTTTTCTTTTTTGATTGTTTTTGTTGAGCGCACAGAAATTTAGCTTTTAAAGTCGCTTTTTGATTCTCGGGTCTGTAACTTAAGAACCTTAACGTTACCAGCTTTGTTTAATCGTAGGGAATCCTTTGCTCTCGTGTGTGTGTTCTGTGTTCTGCTGTTTGCTTTGTACTGACTTATCAGGTTACTCTTGAGGAGATGCTTAAGTATCAAACTAAGTCAAAAAGAGGGAGATTGAAGATGTGGAATCAGCAAACAACTCAGGCGGGATATCAGGATACAGAAAGGAAGCTTGTAGCTGATGTGGAGCTAATGACGTGGCAATTCAAGGAGGAGCTTGGAGAGCACGCAAGGAGATTCTACATATGGAAACTTACCTTACGAGAGTTTGGTAAAAGGGGTCTAGGTTTAGGCTTTGTAGAGTATATATAGTCTGAAGTCGGGTAAAGTATAGGTACACACTTTGCGCCGCAATTGATACAGTTTACCTTGTACCTTAAACAAAGACGAAGTAAGAAGGTTAGTGTCCTCTTCTCTGATACACGTGTTGTGGGATCAAGAGAAGAGTAGGTTTTGTTACTAGGAATCGTTTGGTTGATTTCTAAGAGTAGAGTTGCATAAATCCAAGCAATTGTAATCAGTCGATTAAATTATTGATTCGAAATAATAAAACCTAGCGTTTGACTTGGCGCTTTCCAAGTCATTGATTGTGTGTGCCTGTTTTCTACACTTACACATGTGTGGCGTCTCCTTAGCTGGTATGTTTACTCATCAAGGTCATATACCGATGCCATATTATCGAGAATCTAACAACAATATATAGCGGATAACAATAGTACAGAGATATATGCGCGCGGAGATAAATGTGCAATGGACATGTAATAATAATTATCTCCTATATATTAATTGAGAAACATTTTTAGAGAATAACCTTATTTTTGTAAGTATTTACAGTAGTGTCATTATGCTCATGTGTCAATTCCACATTTATTCTCAGTTAATTTTTTTAAAAAACTTAAATTACTAGACTAAGTATATGATATGTCATTGTAAATTTTAGGTCTACACATATGTTATCTTCATTTTTTCAAATAAATAATATATAAATTATAATTTAATAGAATTAATTTGTCAATGTTAATTATAATATACACAAAATAATTTATTATATAATACTTTTAAAATATTATATGCAAATATTTTATTATAAATTCATAGAAAATATATAATACTTTTTAATTTTTTCTACTTTTATCATTCATAACAAAACATATAATATTTTTTTAATGTTTACTAATTTTTTCAAAAAATATGTTTACTAATTATTCATTAAAAATAATTTTACAGATACAACAGAAAAATTAAAAATCATATTTTATTTTCCCCAAACTCATAAACAAATATATAATACTTTAAGAATGTTTATTTCTTTTGTCAGAAAATATTTTTACTAACAGTTCATTAAAAATATTCTTATAAATACAAGATAACAATTTAAAATAGAAATTAATTTTCTCAAAAATCAATCAGAACATATAAAAGAAAGTCATATTGATTTTATTCATATATTGATGTAATTATAGCATGCACGAGAATAATTATGAAAACATATATAATACTTCAAGATAAATATTTTTAATATATATTTTTTAACAATTCATAATAATATTTACAAAAATATATTATTTATATATGTTATTTTTGTCAAAAATCAATCAGAAAAAATCATAATGATGAATTTCCAATCAATCAGAAAAAATCAAAATGACGAATTTTTAAAATTATTATGATATATATTATTACTATTCGGATTTACTATATAAGGAAATATGGCATATGATATTATTACTTACTTTATATATGGTTCTTAGGTGATGAATATGTCATATAACATTATTGTTTACTTTGTTTTGGTAAAATACTATAACATGATGATACTAATATGAACTGCTTAATGTTTTTGAATTAATGTTTGATTTATCATATACCAAATTCTCTGCAAGATTTGTTTGTGTTTCTTTTGATTTTCTAAGTGGTTAGAATGTTTCAATTTGCTAATCGTTAAAATAAGTTACCAAAGAATTTTAAGTCTGTCGGCTTTAAATCAATCAATATAATTACAATAGAAACTCTATAAATTAATATGGGACTTTAATATTTTATTAATTTATCTGTTTTTGAATTAAATAATTAAATACAAATAATGTTTGTTTAAAAAGTTAATGATATCTTTAAAAATTTTACTTTTAAATTATAGACAAACGATAACATTATTTCAACTTTAATAAAAACAAAATTATATATTCATATTTTAGTAAATTATCGTAGTTATTTAAGATTATTTTATGGTAATTATTAATTTATGAAATTAGTGAAACCATATATTCACATAGGTTTTTTAAAAAAAATTAGGCTTTTTGGTAATTTATATTTACATATTGTATTTTATAAGTAGACAAACTTTCGATCAATGTCCATTGATAAACGGTATTAAAGAGCAATCTATGCTTTTATATGCAAATTTATTTATTAAAATACTTTTATATTTTGAAAAATATTTTTTGATTAAATATTTTTGGATTTAATAAATATTTTTTTGTAACAAGACTAATTATTTACATTAATTTATGGTTATAGTTGTTGCTTTTTTAATTTTGTTGTGTTTTATATATTTTTTGTTTCTAATTATTTTAATCGTATACATATTCAAATACTTCTGATTTTAAATTTAGTTATCCACTTTTTATATTAAGATTCTAAATTTTTTACAAATTAACAAATATAGTATATGCAAAGCTTTGGACATTGGTGATAACACTGAATCATGTTGTTTATCACGAGATATATAAGATTTATATAGCGACTTCATATTTTTACCCAACTAAACTTTGGACCATGTATATGATATTTAATTTTTAAATTAATTTATATGACAATTTTAGTATGTTATTGCATACTGTTATATGAAACTCATATAAAAATCAATTATATTATATTGTATAATCTTAAAATTAATCTAATTTATATATATAATAATTATTTCACCCCGCACATAGTGCGGATTATTACCTAGTTAATCATTGATCATTAATCATATGCCTTTAATAAGAGAATCAGTAAAAAAGAATGTTGACAAATATATACAATCATAATTTATGTCTTATCATTATTTTTGAAAATGTGGCAAATATAAAATTAAACTGAATCTCAATTCAAATTTATATATAGAAGTAGAAAAATGTTAACGCCAGTTTACTTTGGAATATATATAAAATATATATATATATATACACTTTCTATAGCATTTGAAATACATTTTATCTTTACTCAATTAACAAAAACATCATTTTATCTACAGGACGTCGACGTTGAATGAATCGATTCGAAGATAAATATTTAACTATTTTTCGAATATTTTGTGAGAGAGAGCCATTCAAAACCAACTTATTTGGTTATTTCTCCACAAATGTTAAGATACATTAGATTTTGTAGAAAAATAGTCATTGAAATCGATTTTACAACATTTTATAGGATTTTCCTAACGGTGCAAAGTTAAAAAATTTGTTTTTCAACACAAAATAACCATTGAAGGCTTTACGTCGTTGTTATTTCAAACAAGTAATTTGAGCAGTCACACATGACATTTCGACACAAGCAGATATAATATCGTCGTTATTACAAACAAGAAAGGTACAGTACCCAAGCAGCCTCTCCATAAAGAGAAAAGGTAAGCAAAGCGGACTCGGTTGAATGTTATTATGGCATATAATATAATCAACCAATTTGATCCGCCCCTTTTATCTTATTTTTGTATAAACACACACGACATGTATATATAGAAATAGAATAATAGGCAGATAACTTCATCAGGAGCTATTGATTCTGGTGGTAATTGATGCTCAGAGATAATCAGTAGTGGAGACAAAAAAGAACTCAACACCAAGATATATCTCATCATTCACCAGAAATCCGTTTGAAGCCTTGTGGAGTTCTTCCAGCGCTAAAGCCTTCCTCGTGCCCCATGTGCTACCGGAGGAAAACCAACAACATTCCTCGTCTTTATCAAACAAGTAGAGAGATTAAAATCAGCAACCGGCTTATATATATACATGAAAAGCTTATTCAAAAAAAGAAGAAGAAATTAGGGATATATATAAACCCTAACCCAATTCACGGTGTTTGCGTTTAAGTTGGTCCAACACTCGCAGTCTAAAGACGGCCAACGTTGCTGCCTTTGGACCATTCGTCACGTAATCGGTCGCAGTCAAAAACAAAGACAAAAATTTCCCGCTCGCCTCTGCGACTCCTTTTGGGTACATGCTTATATTCCTGGTTCAAATGGTAAACATATATATACGATAAAATATCTCAATATTTTACATGTTTTGGCATTGGGATATATGGTTATTTCAATGTAAAGTTAATGAATCAATCTATGAAAAATTTTACTTTGTGGGTATAATATATGCTCAACCAAAAATAAAAGAAAAATGCGGATACCATCTCCGTGGTCCAACGGTGAACTCGTAGGACGAATGATGTTCACCATCGAAGGAGGAAAACTGAGTGATCTTCCAGGTGAATCTAGAGTTTTTCCGTTGCACCTCCGTCAGTTTCAGGCGTTCCACTGTCCCCATGGTTGGAGAGACACTGTTGACATTGAGGAATTTAGGTTTGACTTCAGTGATCTCCGCACAGAAAACCACTTTCTCGTTCACAAGATAATTCTTCTTCAAATCCACGTTTGAGATCAAGCTGGCTTGCCCCCATGAGGGGTTTTTTTCTGTAAAACACGCCGCACATGCTGATAACAACAACAAATATCTCAGTATCAATTAAAAATAAAAACCAATAAAAAAAATCATCACCAATTAATAATAATTACATGAGAAATTTTCGATATACACGTACGTTTGCATAGATCAGCTAGTCCAGTATGAGAGACGACAATGAGATTGAAACTGCATTGGACTTCCCAGTTTGAACCGATACACTTTTCATCCTTGATCGACAGATAACAGGATAAGTGGTCCTTTACGACATCTGACTTGATATAGAAACTCCTATATCGCCAACAAAAAAGAAAAAAAAAACACAAATATTAGGTTAAAATTAAATTGTAGAACCTTGTTGGGCCACGAGATCGAATGACTCACCATTTGAGACCAGCAGCATGAAAATCCAATGACTGACACTTCTTATCTTGGTTAGTCATCACCTTAGTCATTCCATCAATCAACATGAAGTGAGCGTTGTAGCGTTTCTTTGCATGTTCTTTTATGGTTTCTAGATAGAATACATACAGATGAGAAAGCATACATCGACATCACTTCATTAAAACTTATATGTAAGCAATGATGTATATAAGTAAAACGAACCTTCATGTGACGCTAGACCCATTTTGAATAAGGTGATCACCGTCGTCTTAAATACCGTGGTTTGTATTGGAGTGAGAAGAAAGTAGTATGTATGTCTGTATATATAGGCAAATTCCTTGACGAAGGGGTTTCAATTAGAATCTAAACAGAACCAGTTATGGATTATTTTCTTCCAAGAAAAAAAACAAATTAGAGATGTGATTGGTAAGGCCACAGGAATTTCTAACAGCGTTTAAAAAGATTATAAAGTTTATATTGTAGTTTTCATATCTACTAAGATAATTTATTTATTTTTATTTTTTTGAAAAGAATGTTAAATCATATCTACTAAGATAATTTAACTTAGAGAATTATATAACTAAAGGATAAGAACATTGAACGAACCATATCCTCCGGTCCCTATATTCCACAATCACTCTACTTTTTTTCTACCTTTTATTTTGATATTTGCTTCTGTAAGCACTCTATTATAATATTCCCACGCTACTGAGAATCTGACAACAATGGCGGTCAATTTTTAAATTGGCGAGATGCGTCGAGAGAAGCAATGCAACATTCCTCTTCTCCAGCATAGACCAAAGATCATTGCCCTTTTTAGGTTTTAAGAGGGTTAAACAAATGTGTTAAGTCACCCAAGTGAGAAATGAAAATTTACACGTAAGTTACCAATATAAATGACTTTATATGGTGTTATCAGCATGGGCCGATGGATGTATGTATGTTGCTTAAGATGGGGCAGCAGACACCCATGATCTCGTGAAAATTAGTGTGAAATTTTATATGTTGGAGAATTTTTTGTGTGTGTTTAGACCATAACTAGCCTAAAGCCCAAATCAGCAGCATTTAAGTTATATGAGAACCTATTCAAGTAATTAAAGACCATATAATTAGTATTAATTTAATGGAAAATGTTAGTATTAAAGAAATTTCTCAACTATCACTCAATCCATTTTAAAACTCCCAACTATTATTCTATAGATCAAAACTCTCACTTCGTTTGATCTAGTTGAACCCAAAATTAAAATTTCACTAATTTGAAATCAATAGTTTTTTTTTTTTTTTCCGGAACTTGCTGTAAATATTTTTCGAAAAGAAATAAAAACTTTAATTTACATTCAACAAAAATGCTTTCAATATTTTTTTTGTGGTTCACCAACCAATGCGTAAAACCAACAAAAAAATCCAAAAGTTACGGCTAATCAAACCCATCGGAAACATTCTTTATTTAGCAAATAAAAATGCATACTATATAATCACATGAATATTTGTCAGAAAAAAGTAAAATTTTCAGAATAAAAAAAATGGTTATCCCCAAGAAAACAATTGTTCTATCATTAGCTCTTATAATTATGATATGTTTTGTCATAAACACAACCGAAGCCACAAACACAGGGACTGGAGCTATGGAAAAAGATGATGGCAAAGGTTGTAAGCCACCAAATTGCAATAAGCAACCAACTAACCCATATACATCGGGTTGTGAACGTAGCCACAGATGTCGTGGTTGAAATTATAGAATTTGTTTTTTAAAAATTGTTATATGAATTAAAAAAAATATTTTTCAACGTAAAACTATCAAATAAATAATTCTTTTTTGTGCAAATTCAAATAAATAATTCTTGTAATTTTATTTTTAAGAATAAAATTTTTGTTATTTTATATTTTTAACAGTAACTAGCGAAGACTAGTATTGTAAACTAATATCCTCTGAGAATAAATAATTGTATAGTTATACCAGCCATTTGTCATATATGGCTTTGTAAGCAATAATTAAGTTTGCATATATGGTTTTTTATTGTTGGTATTCTAAATAATGCTATATGTATATTAAAAGTAAGTATGCAACCCTCATATTTATAACTACGTGATCGGCAATGGCTATAAAATATTTTATATATTCAATTAGGGTTAGTATGATATTGAAGATGTTTAATTTGTATATGTTTAATAATATATTAATAATAAAATAATAAATATTTAATAATAAAAAATAACGATAAATTAAATATAAAATATTATATATTTCAATAGAAAATGAAGATAAAAATATTAACTAAGATTTTAAAAAATTTATTTGGATAAAAAATGTAAATATGATAGCTAAATAAAAAGAGAAAATATTAAAATATATAATAATTTATTTAATTTTTATTTTTTGTTCGCATGCATGTGCAAGTATAACTTTTTTTATAGACATAATTAGTTGTAATATTTAAGTATTGATTAATTTTCTTATATATTATGTAAATTTTATGTTTTTATACATATATGATTTAGTGTTCAACGACAACCACACAAACGTTTCATATCGTTTTGTGTCTTTTGAAAACTTTTTATTATTCCTAGCGTTTACAGTAATATATAATTGCAAATGTAAAAGTTATATTAAATAATAATTAAATTTTTATAATATGTTTGAATATTATCTATATAATACTTTCTTTTTCTCTTTACATAATATAATCTTGCCAATATATATTTTAAGTATACATTTTTCCTTGACCTATTGCTAATTAAACCAAAATGAATTCTACCATATTTATTTATCCTAAGAGCGGATAGATGGTTGGCAAAAATGTTTTAAAAATATAAATTCTCTAACAACTAAAATTAAAATTAGAGTGTAATCGAGGTTAACAAAATGTATGCACCACAAGTTTGCATTCGAATTTGACTTTTTCATAATTAGTATTTATATTTATACACATATTTGTAAGAAAATCGAAGTATGATTTTTATGTGTTAAAAGAAAATAATAAAGTATATGTTTTGTAATATATATTTTTATAATGTATGGTTGATTATTTAAATATATTTATGCATGTAGATATGAGTTATAAATAAGTGAATTGTAATATTAAGGTGTTAGTAAGTTTTTTGGTATTTTCCATAAATGTTATGTTTTTACACGGTGCAGTTATTGGTATTTAACAACAATCATGAAAATCGTTTCTATCGTTTTTTATTTATTCAAAGTTTCTTATTTTTCAGCGTTTGATGATATATGGTTTCTCAATAAAAATTTATTTTAAAATTTGTGAAATCATATTTTATAAAATTCTCTGGTAGCTCTCCGCTCATCTCTTCGTCAAATTTTTTATAATCTGCAATCGCTCGCTACCACAAACTCTTTGTAGCCGAATCGCTTAAACCAATCGGATCTAAATATATATGTATATGATTTAAGGTGTAATATAATATATGTAATATTTCATTATTATTAAAAATTACGAGTTGATATGTTCCTAACTTTAATATATTTGTTAATATAAAATATAATGGATCACAACATATACAAAACTTGATTTATGAAATAGTGTTTTAATATGTTAGAAAAAATACGTGCATGAAAGAATTAATATGTGAAAGATAATATTTTGAAATATTTCAAATAAAAACTTAAAATCGATCAAAATTATTCTCATTTATTTTCTTCTCTCCTTTGACTCATACTTTTTTTTCTTAACATTTAATAATATATTAAACATTAAGACCATATACAATGCATTTTTCTATTCTTTTCTCTAAAATATAAGTGAACTTCTCTCTAACATATTTTAATTTTACAGGGAAAAAAGATTGTTATTTTTTCCTCTATAATTGCAGGAAAAAATAACAACCTTTCTTTTTCCTCTAAATTAGAAGATTTAAAATAAATGTAGGTAAAAAATACTTTAAACCCAAAAATATTACATGAGATTTTTACATAAAACCAAAGACTTAGATTCATTTTTACTTTTACTTCTATTTTTTATTCATATATACAGTATTATGATAAAAAAAAAAAGTTAGCTAATAGGATACTTATAATTTATTTTTCTATCTGTTTATTTTTTTGTTTTATTTATAATTTTGAATTCTTGCTATATAATGAAAATTCATTCATATATGATATAAATTTTTCTTTTTTAAAATAAGATTTATTTAGTTTTAACTTAATCAATCAAAATATTTCGTTTATTTTAGAAAATTTATCATGTCACATTTATGAGGTGTCATTGTTTTGCACTAACTTTTGCTAATGTGATGACACATCAGATTTTTTCATTAAACATGCTTCTCAAATAATAGTTAAGATAAAATAAATGTTTTTATTCAAACCAGTTGAAACAACATAAAAACGTTAATAGCTTTATTTAAGATGTTAGCTAACAAGTTGGACCAAAAAAATATGCTTCAGTTTAGATGAAGAGTATAAAAGATGAAATAGAAGAAAATAATATATCAGTTTTCAAGCATTTTAGCAAAAAAACAAAAATCAGTATTCTATATACAAAAAAGTATGAAATATATATATATATATATATATATATATATATATCAATGCATGTAAAACACTAAAGACAAAACTTGATGGTTAGATATATACAATACGAATTTAACATAGTAAATAATAATATGCTGTCAGAAGAGAGTGGATCACATATCCGTTTCGATAGTTAATCGAAAATCGTGTGTGGTTCATGAGCAGAGGTAGGGTGTACGATATAAAGTGATGCCACACCATGAATAATAATAGATATAAGAATGTGAAGCGTTTCAAGCTCACGCAATCAAACGAACTTTTGGTATGTGATGAAGATGTTGCGCCATAGATGTGAATGAAGATGTTCTATATAGTACCATAGACTTTTAGTGGATTCACACGCTGAAAGAATAGCAATTTTGTGATGCTTGTTGATTAGCTCACTATATATATCAACAAATTAATAAGTTTTCGTTAGTCAATTTGATAACATAAGTTATTAAGCGAAAACAAATTAGTGTCTAGGTCTTGGTTGTTGATAAATAATTTAGTGTCCAAAAGAAAGAAAGAAGATTTAAATTTAAAATAAGAAAAATACAAAAGACTCGACCCAAAAAAAAAAAAAAAGAGGAGGAACAAACTTGAGAAACGAAATTTAAACGAACAAAATGTATAAATATATAGTCCTATATATCATTAAACGATGAGCCATGATCAAGCATATATCCTCATCTTGTTAATCACTTTGTAAACATCATCCACGTCATCGTCGTCATCATCTTTGACCTCCTCTACACACCGCTCATTTTCGTCCCGGAGACTGCCCTCGCCGCCGCCACATCCTCCTTTGCTGACGTCAGCAGAAGCAGAGTCGACTCTCATGAAGAAATTGCATAAGAGAAGTGTTAAGAGGCAACAGATGATGAAATCTCTAGATGCAGCCATGGATCAGACACACTCGATCTCTTCTCTCTCTCTCTCTTTCTCTCTTATCTCAACTACTTTAAAAAAAGCTTTCGTTGTAACTTTGATATGTTTTACTCTTACAGTTATGCTTATATAAGAAATGGAATTTTCTATTAATAGAATAAAAAAACTGTCTTTTGCGCTGGTCTTAAGGCTTAAGTAACTGTTGACGCCCAAAAAAAGAAAAAGGCTAAGTAACTGTTGCAGTTATTTTACATTTTTATCTTCCAAATAATTACTTATCTACAATTAAGTCGCTGTTAATGCTTTCGCGCGTCCATAAAATTCATCATTATTCGCCTATCGTTTATGTAATGGACGTGAGTTTCATGGTTATAGAGATGAAACTGGATGGTATAATATGAATATTATAGATTTATCATCATAAATATTGTAAAAAATAAACGTATTCTTTATATGTTTGTAATTAAGATGCACTTTTGTGATAATAGATTTTATGTGTTTAAACGGTCTTCTCCGTCCATGCTGTACTTATAAACCAACATTATCACTAAATATTGAGAAAAAAAAAATTTGTTTTGTGTATACAATCTTGCAAATATAAAGGTGGTATTTGTTTCTTGCATGAAATCCGAAAGAAGAAACAAATTACATGTTGTTTACGATGAAGACTTACGCCTTGGGCCTAACATTCTACTTGGTAAGCCCAATAGCAAAATCAAAAGAAAATCGTCTTGTCCAATAAAGGTCATCTCCCACCGCTAATTTCTCTCTGATCGGAAAACGATCTTCTTCACCGACGACGAGTAACCGTCCCTCCGTCATGCCGGAGATTGACGCGTTGTTTGAGTCTATCAATGTTCGGGACCTTCTCGCCGGACACGATCTCAACGACCCGACGACTCCATTATCGGCGCCGGATCTCCGTCTCCTCATAAACCGCTTGGAGTCTCATTCCCTGCGGATCAAGTCCAAAGTTCAGTCCTACCTCATCGCCCATCACTCTGAATTCTCTGAGCTTTTCGCAACCTGTCAAGACGCCGTCTCCAGGACCTGCCTTATCTCCGACGACGTCTCGGACGTCCTGCAATTGATTTCCGACCGTCCGATTGATGTTGAGATTCGTAGCGTAGTTGATGAGATAACCGAGAAGACCAAGGAACTGAAACTGAAGAGAGAATCGCTTGATTTAGTGAGCGCGATCGTGGGAATCTGCGAGGCATTGCAGGAAACGAAAGAAGCTCTGAAAGGCGGACGCTTCCGATTCGCCGCCGAGAGAATCAGAGAACTGAAAGTCGTATTGAGGATTGGCGAAGAGGAAGAAGGAGAACCCGTTGCATACGTTTTGCTTAGGAAAGAATGGTCTGATTGCTTCGACGAGGTGAGCCAGAATTGTAAACATGGATTGAATAAAGCTCTAAACTTTAAAATTGCATCCGCATTTGATATCATAGAGAGAGATCTTAGTTTTCTTTTGAAACTGAAAACAATGAGTTTAAAGTTCTAATTTTTTGGTTTGTACTAAGAAAAAAAATAGTAGAATCTGAGTGTTGAGAAGAACTGTGTCTGTGTTTGCAGATTCAAGAGGTTCTTGCAAAATTCATGGGAAATGCAGTGCGTTTTGAGCTGGACTCTCGCAAGCTCCGGATTAGTTATCAGCTAAGCGTTGGTGAGACTACTGGAATCGCTCTTCGTACTGTTCTTGAGGCAATGGAGGTATGAATTTGTTTTGACTTTGATACCTAGCAAAGATCATAGCAATTTCGATATGAATCATTCGTTTTTTACGGTATTTGAGTTTCGACTGTTCTGGATTTTTCTAGGTGATTGGAATGTTAGACTATGGGCTTGCGAAAGCAGCTGACTCAATCTTCAAGCATGTCATTACCCCAGCTGTAACTCATGCTTCTACCTTTCTCGCTGTGGAAGATTCAAGTAAAACCTCAGGGGAAATAACCGAAGCGATATTAAAGCTAGAACAGTCCTCAGATCATAAGGTAGCTATTTCTATGGTACAGATGAGATCTGCGCACTATTCATCTCATGTATTCTTCTTTTTCTCTAGTCTATATATTATGTGTTTCTCGTAATTTCTGCGTTGCTTGTCTTCTAGTCCTCTAAAATGCTTACCTTCCTAAATGCAGCTTGAAGATGTGGATGGAGATGCAATATATTCAGGAATTCTTAAGGTTGTTAAATTCATTTGCAGTTCCTTGTGCTTTGGGAACGTTACATGGATTCATTCTTTCGGGAGATTGACATGGCCGAGGATATCAGAGCTAGTTATATCTAAATTTCTTTCAAAGGTTAGTTTCTGTAACTCTTGTGGCTATGAATTAGTGAAATTTCTTTGGTAGAGAGAAGAGCACTCTTCTCTTTTGAACTTTAAGTGTAGGTTGTTAAAAGCTTGTTGTTCCCTTTGGAGTCAGGTTGTCCCAGAAGATGCTTCAAAACTTGCCGACTTTCAGAAAATTCTTGAGCGGACTTCTCAATTTGAAGCAGCTCTAAAGGAATTGACTTTTGTTTCACCATCTGATGCGGAGGGAAGGCTCAGCAAATATGCTGAAAATGTCGAGGTTCATTTTGCATCTAGGAAGAAGATAGAAATTCTAGCAAAAGCAAGAAATTTGCTGCTGCAGTGTAACTTTACGATTCCCCAGGTGAGCTTTGATTATCCTCATATTTACCTCATTTATCAGCCTTTTCATGTTAAAGATCATGATTATGAAATCCTTTTTCAGGGGCTTGCTACGAGGAACGCTAGTTTTAATCCTGATGTTGTGGAATCTTCTAAACACATCGTTCGCTTACTTTTCTCGTCTGAAATGTGTGTGGTGTCTGAAGCTGCTTCCCAACTTATGCATTTGGTGCATACGACTCTCGAGGTGGCTCTTTTCGTACTTGTGCAATTCGGTATGAGCATTTTTGAGACATGTTTGGGATAATAAACTCATTTTTCCTGCAGGATGTTTGTGTGTCTTCTGCAAGGGTTGCTTCAGAGTTCTACCACGCTGCTCGAGATTCCATACTTCTATATGAAGCTGTTGTTCCTGTCAAGGTCAGTGAATAATAAGTTTTCAAAGAAGATCCAATAATTGAATCAGTATGTGCAGTGTCTTATCATTCTTCTTCCTTGCTCTCTCGAAATGTGAAGTTAGAGAAACAACTCAATGGCATCAATCAGGCTGCTGTTCTTCTGCACAACGATTGTCTATATTTGTTCGAAGAGATACTCGGACTTGCTTTTGAGGTATAGTCAACCGCTGTTTTGAATCTTCCTTCCTTGATTGAGAAACCGATCGTCACTTCTTAAACAGCTTTATTCCTTTCTTCTCTGACTATATCATCACTTTTGTTCACAGTATCGTGCTAGCTTCCCTAGCTCCATCAAGGAATATGCAGTATTTGCCGACGTAGCCCCAAGATTTAAATTGATGGCAGAAGAAGTTTTGCAAAGACAAGTTCAGCTAGTAATTTCGAGTTTGCGAGAGGTGAGTTTCTATGGAAAAAATAGTATTATGTGAAGTTGAAGTGCATTGATGGCTCATCTAACACTTTGCTTCTATCATCAGGCTATAGACAGTGCAGATGGATTTCAGGATACTCATCAAATAAAGCAATTCGAATCTGCAAAATTCAGCATTGAGCAGGTAATTGCTCAAGTCTTGAGTTTCTGTGTTCTTTTTTTACCTTCTTTCCTATTAAGTGTCAGTTTTATCAGGAAAATGCAATTGTTTCATAGGTTGTCTTTAGTCTAGAGAAAGTGCATATGATATGGGAGCCGGTCTTACGGCCCAAAACTTACAAACAAAGCATGTGCGTAGTTTTGGAGTCGGTCTTTCGTAGAATAACCAGAGACATTCTTCTTCTAGACGACATGGCTGCTGATGAAACTTATCAGGTAGCTGTTTTCTCTTTGCGAGTCCTTTGTGCAGTGGTACTTTTTATTATTGGCTATTAAAAATGGGTTGTTTTTTGCTTATTCTCAGCTGCAAAGACTGATTCATCTCATGTTGGAGAATCTATCTTCTTTACTCGGCTCCCTGAAATCTGCAGACGAAACTTCTCGTCCTCTTGATGATCTCATACCATCTTTGCGTAAAACTCGAAAACTAGCAGGCATGTCTTCACTCCTTTATTTATTATCCCCCTCACTTTAACGCTAAGCTTGGGATTTACACAGTGAATTTTCCTCGTATACAGAACTATTGGATATGCCTCTAAAGTCTATAACTTCAGCTTGGGAAAGTGGCGAGTTGTTTAGTTGCAATTTTACAAGAACAGAGGTACAATCTTGTTTACCTCACGTAGACATTTGTTATCAAGACGTTCTATCAAGTCTACTGATCTTTCTTCATGTGATTATTGCTAATGAAGATTCTGAAAAGCGTTGTGATGATAATTTGTTGCAGGTACAAGATTTCATCAAAGCCATATTTACAGACTCGCCGCTGAGAAAAGAATGTTTATGGAGGATAGAAGACGTTAGCTAATAGCAGAGGAAGTGATAAAACTAAAAAGCCATTATAGACCTGAGAAGAAAGCAAGCGAGACTTAGTGGCAGAAGAGTCGGGAAGTATAAATGTGAGATTGCATCATCCACACTCTTGTGTAAGAATATATGTAAGATTTTAAAAGAGTTCCCAAGATTTTGTTGTACATGATTTTACATTTGATCACAAGATCTCAGGGGAAAAAAAGCTCAACTTCCACACGCTAATTTTATTGAAAATCTTCGTCCGCATTACATTGTCCATCACTGAACAGCCTTATAAAAAATTTAGTGTGGGTTTAGAGTCTGATTACTCGGATGCCAATAACTGTTTTGGAGAATATTATTATCGGGTTTGGTGATAAAAGCAATCGGTTTAGTTTTGATTTCATCCGGTTACGGTTTTGTTTCCACCCCTACCAGTATCAAACTGAAATGAAGCGGGATATGTATACTTTATCAGGAAGACAAAACCAGTAAGAAAAAAAAGTTAAGAGCGATGTACTCTAATGGCGCTCCACCAAAGATTCTCTGATTATGTGTCTATCTAAATCCAAAATCAGGACATATTGCAAAAAAGAAAGTCTATATATGGATGTTTTCTGTCTCTTGAAATGGTCTTACATTCTTTTGGCAATATAGAGAGTGAAACATTCAACGGTTCAGATCCATAAGTAGCAGCAAAATCAAAAACACACCTTGGAATCTTCACAGCTCATCCTTGGTAGTACCAACATTAACATTATCATCACCTCCCATGAGTTCCTCCAGTGAGAATTCATCTTCCTCGATCACTTCCCCGTCTTTACCGTCCCACGCTTTTGTCTCAACAATCTCTGGTGTTCCGTTCATTGGCAAGTTTCCTTTTCCACCGGCCTGAGCATCCTTTACAAATTCTCTGGTGTAACCACAAACGAAGATTACAAGCTATAAGAGAGAGAAATCATCCAGCTGGATCTAAAACATCGAGAACTCTAGTTAAACCAAACTTACAGGAGGTGTGGAAGCTCAAATGCGCTTTTAAGAGGAGTATATACTCCTTTCTTCACGTTCATGGCTACCATTGCTGGATAACCATATCCTCCCACGCTGACTCGCTTCTCCAAATCCGGCTGAGTTACAGCCGCCACCCACACAAAACTGAACACAACATCAAATTTTAACATGAGATTCTCATTCTACTTTACGAATAATGATTCTTTGCTAAGCTGTACATGAAAAATGATGGGCTTCATGATTCATCCAGATGTTCCCAAAGCAAGTCCTACCTCTTCTATAAGAACCGTAAACCTTTTGGTTATATTGATTTTTTTTTTCTTAACTGAGAACAGGACCATGATGCAGAAAAGAGAGAAGGGAATCTTTCTTAGTATACCTGTAAGGATGCTTCTTAAATTTTTCTGCAACTGATAATAACATCTCGAGGTACTTATTCCTTCCTTCAGCTTTGGAGTCAAGAATGTCTGGTAAGAAAGAGACAAAGCAAATAGCAGCAGAACCACACTTCTGTTCCATGACATCCTATACAATCACCATAGAACAAATGTCAATGCCTTGGTTTGGAAGACAGCTCCGTCTAAGAGAGAAGTAAGTGATGTGAAAACGATACCGGCCCAGTTAATTCAGTTACTTCAGCAGGCCCAGCACTAGATTCCACAAGTTCTGTTGCAAAAGATTCGATAGCTGACGCAGATCTAGCACCATCATAAGAATATGGGCTGCTTTTGTCTGCACCAAATACCATAATTGTAGGGAATCCTTGCACTTTGAATCTGCTCATTATCGACTGCAATGTATAATAATCTTAGTCAGAACTCATCGCGTGTAAAACGAACAAAGGAGTTTTCATACAAGAAAAAGACATTGTGGTAGCTGATCAGGATTCATGCTTTAAAAGCGAATGGGAAAAGAATAGGCACAGGTCAAATTCCCAAGAAACCAATAGAATGCTGAGACACGAAAGAGTCCATAGAAATTATCTCTGAAAGTCAAATATATTAGAATGTAAAGATTTATAGAGATATACCTGCTCGACATCGCAATTGACATGCCCTAATTTCACCTTCCCCTTCAGGTTGTTTGCAGCCTTTTTCCACTCTGGGGCAAGTTTTTTACAGTGTCCACACCTTTTCGAAGAGAGAAAAAATGATGATTTACATCTTCAGATGTACCGAGGAGGTTAAGTAAGGCATGAACAGTTCATCAACTCAATAAGCACAACTTACCAAGGAGCAAAAAACTCAACGATCCAGAGGTCATTGCTTTTGATGACCAACTCATCAAAATTGCTGGAGTTCAGCTCCACAGATGCACTAGACTCAGATTTCTTTTCACTAGATCCTCCATTTGGTTTACTTTTTCCTTCCAAACGGTCACTCAAAAGAGTCTTAATCTGAGGAAAAACTAACAGCGATCAGCCAATCCGTGTGCAGTAACACGAGTTTGGTGGAGTGCAATGCAAATTAAAATGACGTAATGGCAACTTTCTGTTCTTAAATTTCTATTTACTAACTAGCTACAAAACCATGAAAAGGTGAAATTTTCTGTACTCAAAGTCAAAGAATCAACCGCTGCTCTTTTTATTTTAAAATTTCACTTTAAAAGCAAAAAAGGACAAAGATCTTTACACATATCAAAACCATTGCTATAATGTGTTTGATGAACAATTAGTGGGATTCAACAACATAGCTATTCGGTACTAAGCTTCAAGAAGGCATAAAGAGTATAAAACTTCGTCTATATAACTATGAGATATCAATCAGGATGTATGTAATCCGCTACTTGCCAAAAGAAAATAACATAACATGGTAAAGATCACTCTTGTTAATTGTGGCTTAATCATGTCATAGGATAAGAACTTCTTAAATAATAGAAAGTATATAATTAAGAAGCATGTAACAAACCTGCTTGTAAGCAAAATTAGCAATGGATTTAGCATCTCTTGCTCCTTGGTAATCAACTGGAGGCTTTCCAGGTACAAAGGCTTTGATGGTTGGGAAGCCCTTAATACCATAATCCTGGACCAGAAAGTACATTGTAGTTAATAAAAAGGTTTTTTTTTTTACCTTCTGTATACTTCACAGGGAACGGTCTCATGGCAAAATAGAAGCTATAGATGACTGTTTCACTGTGTGAGACGATTCGAAACAACATCACAAACCTGAGCGGCAGACTGGTGAGCGTCGGCGTCAATTGCTGCCACAGTAGCAACACCTTTCAAAATACCAGCCACTTTCTCCCATGTTGGTGTTAGAGCTTTACAATGACCACACCATGGTGCAAAGAACTCTACCAAAACGACTCCATTTGAATTAAGAACCTGCAACAAGGAACATGTTAAGAACATTCACACAGCTTCACATCAATAAATCACGAAAACTGAACCGGATCTATAAACTGCTGAAAAGAGTAAAATCAGAAAGAAAATCATACACCCAGCTCGTACTCTCATCTACAAACTAGATCAATCTTCAAATATGGTTGAAAGTGCCGAGATCAGAGAGAACGGCTCGAAAAAACATTTCCATATACAATCAATCGAGTATTTTAGGAAAAAATCCTGTGAAGCACCGATTCACCTATAGATGAAATCGACCATCGCCATACCTTGGACTTGAAGTTAGAAGCAGTGAGCTGAACCACCGGCGAAGAAGATCCATAAAGAGCATTTCCGAGATTGAAGAATCCAAAAAACAGAGAAAGAAGCGTGAGCAACGTTAATGGTGATTTGTACATTTTTCCTTCTCCCTTTCTCTTACTTTCCACTTTCTCTCTAAAATTTGGTTTAACCCTCTTTCGCGATCCTGCGAAGCAGCAGAATTAAGAACACAGGCTTCGTAGAGTTACGTGGGTCGTCCAATTATATCGTGACACATCAGCATAAGATGGCCGTCGTTTCTTTTTTCCCCTGTCGAGCAAAGCCTCTGCCCCAGAGAGAGGGATTTCATTTTCGTTTAGATTTCATTTCTGAAAGCACAAATATTGTCGGGCCAAAGCTAAGCTCCAGACTAAATAACCCTCTTTCAGTCCAAATTAAACAACTTTACAGTTTCACCAAAATGAGAGATCAATTTTTTTGTCTTCCTGCATCTAATATAATATTAAAATTTAGAGCATATAGTTTGATAAACGAAATAGTAAAGCAAAAACTAAAATTCTGAAAATTGTAAAAGGTGTCAAATTTTATTAACCAATTCAAAAAACTGTTCATTTCCTATTTGTTTCAGCCATGACTGTCTCCGAAACCAAAAAAGAGAGAGAACAAAAAGATAGAACATGCCCTCCTTCCAAAAAATTAACAAAAAGGGCAGAGAGATCATTTGAGATCGTTAGAAACCCTGAGAGAGGAAAAGGTTCAGCCAGATTGTGATAAAGATAACTCATGACGAGATCATGAAGAATTATCTGACGAATCCTGCTTTCCTGACTTGTCCTGTTGTACAGAATCATCATCGTCCTGTTTCTTACTTTCAGAGCTTGCATCAATTTTACCATTGGACAAGGCGGTTGAACCAGAGCGGCTTGGTTCTGATGGTTGTTCCTGCACTTCTGACTTGTCCGGTTGTTCAGAACTATCGTCCTGTTTCTCAATCTCTGAGCTGTGATTCTCTGCAGCAGGTTTATCACCATTGGTATTTGAGTCAGAGCGGCTTGGCGGCGATGAGATCTCCAGATGAGTTGAAACAGTTGAAGCAGTAGACAGAGAAGGCATGGTCAAGCCTGTATTGTTGTTACCAGGGTTTAGTGGCACTGAGTGATCGAATTTGCAGTTTGCTCCAAACTTGCAGAATCCATAGGCCTTGAAGTTACCACATGCTGGTTGTCCCTGAACACAGCAAAAGCAGAGCAAATTAGTGTCACCAGATGATAATTGCTACCGAAAGATCTTTGTTGGCAGTAAAACAAAGAAGGACAAGAGACTTACTGGTCTAGATGGAAGAACAACAGGGTTCAAGAGACTTGGTGGTGACTGTAACATCCTTTCTTTCGGATGACTGTATTTGCAATCATCTCCGTATTTGCACGTACCGGTGTTCATGAAAAACCTACATTCAGCTCTTTCAGAGAAACTGTGATGATGCGATGTAACGGCCACAGGAACAGGCACAGATACACTAGAGCTGGAGTCGAGTTGAGTTTTCACATTATAAATGAAGTTAGATCCAGCCTGCACCACAAGAACATTCTTTACTAAATTGGATTTGTTAAGGGAAGTGGAATTAGTTAAAAGTAAAATCGAGCAAGGCTTACCATGTAAGTAGGCCAGCCTTGAGGAGGTGCAACCATGAAGGGCATGTAGGCCTGAGGGAGAGGAACTTGAGGACGTGCCATAGCTCCATATGTTGCAGCAGGAGGAGGCATAACTCCATATGTTGCGGGAGACATAGACATCATCGTCAGTCCACTGGTATAAGGAAAACCAACAGAAGGAAAGCTAGAGACTCCATAAGTAGAGTGGCCATCGTGAGACTGAGGATGAGGATGATGGAATTTGCAGGCAACTCCGAATCTACACATCCCTGTCTGCAGGTAATATGGGCATGACTTCTCACCCTGGAGAGAGAAGACACATATAAAGTAAGCAACTTGCTGATGAAAATGTAATAATAACCAGAAGAAGTAAAATATCACCTGACGCATAGGATAACCGAGAACATTGAACACCACGGGTCCAGCACCGTTCCTGTCCTTTGGGTGGTGGTATTTACATGTTGAGCCATACTTACAGGCTCCTGTCTTCAGAAAATACTGTGAAGAAAAATTGCATACAGAAGAGGAAAGTGTTCGTTAAGCATATCTTTAGAGAAAAAAGTAACAACACAATATCGACCATCCACTACTAAGCAAAAGACTCAAGACAATACAAAACTTGAGTGAATGTATCATATGAATGAATACTCAGAGAACGAAACATCTACTCCAACTTTTCAGATCAACGCAAGAGATTATAAGTAGAGTGTAAGCAATGTACCTCACAGTCTGGCTGACCAATTCTCTCAGGCAGTTCATCTCTGTGGTAGAAGACACCCTACAAAAACGTATACAGAACTGTAAGCTTCAAGAAACAGAGAATGTGCAGAAAGAGTCAGCCAAACATAGACTAATTATCTCACATGTGGAAGATGAGTAAGAGGATGATTGTATCGGCAGCTGTTTCCATATCCACACTGCCCAGTTCTCAGAAAGAACGGGCAGTCTCGCTCACCGGGACGATCAGGATACGGACTCGACTGCTCCATCGTGTCTTCATTAACTTTCATCTTCTTGAAGGTATCTAAAAGATCATAACACGAGACATGAGCATCATCATACAAGTAACACAACAGGAAGAAAGAAAAGAAAAAAACAAATTCAATCCATAAGAACCAGACTACAAGACAATGTCAGACGTTAAAAGACCAATCAGAAATTAAAAACTCAAAACGATTTTGAATACATATTATCAGAGAATAATCTCCCACGACATAAGAACGTGATCTTTTAACTTTCGTAGATGTTGACGAAGTATTCAGAATCAATGATCCGACAAGACGAATCCAACAAGACAACTCCATAAACACAAATTCGTATCAAACTCCAGATTTTCCGAACTTTTGGACGTCTTTTGAAAAAATAAATTCCCAGAAAGAAAGGAAATCACATTGAGACTTTGAATGATCAAACGAAACAAAAACAAAATTATATGATCTTCAAACACATTACGGTAAACAAACCGTTTCTATGGATCTCTCATAAATGCAAATAAACAAAACAAAAACAAAAAAAAAACTATAACTACCTTCAATTTTCTCGGAATATCGAATTGACCCAGTAGAGTTCGTAAACTTCTGAGTTTCTGACATGGCTCGTTATAACACAAACACAGTCACAGACACAAGATCAAAAACTTTTATTCGTTTCTTATCTTCTGAGAAAGAAAAAAATCAGAGACAAATCGGTTCTTAAGTATGTAAGTCGAGACGATGATCACAATGATCAATAGCAACAGCAAAGAGGAAAAAATATGTGACAACTAAATAAGGAAAGAGATTTGTTCCTGTTTTCCGAGGAGAGATAAAACTAAGAAGAAGAAGAAGAACAAATGTTAAAATAACTGAAAAACGATCTTCTTAAATTTAACTTTTTTTCTTTCCCAAAGATAGATTAATCGTTTGAACAAATCCGAAAAAGAGAAATCTCTGCTCAAATATGCCGATTGGAATGAAATTTTTCCTTATTCCCTCCTTGGCGATTTCCTTTGCTTTTCCCAGAATCTGAGATTTTCGGGGGAAAATTTTCGGATCTTCCTTTTTGGTTTTTGCCTTTTTTTCTCCCAATGTAATGTGTTTCAATGTGAAAACGAGAAAATTAAAATTAAAAAATTGGATTTAAATAAATAAATAACAGTGCTGAGTAATGAGTCTTTGCCCCCTCGTGTACGGATTAATAAATTCTGCCGGTCCCTTGGAAATGACAATCTTACCCTTATCCCTTCATCAACTGGTTTGCGCGTGATCTAATATTCAATGTCGTGGTTCGATCTCAGCCGTCCGATTCGAACCTTATGGGACCCGCGGTATTCTCTTTTCGAAACCTTATTTGATAAAAAGATAAAACTTTTCTCTACAACATTTAATCAACAAAAATTAAGAAAACAAATTCTTACGTCAGAAAATTTAGTAGATTTAATGAAAATTAAATTAAAAGCTACTGTAATTAATTTTAATATTTAGGTGTTTTAATTATAAAAAAAATCTAGGGCAATTTCATTATAGCAACATTTTTCTTTTACAAATTTATAGCAACACAGTTTTAACATTAAATTTGATAATATATGTATTTTTTTACTTTAATATTTAATATTTATAGCAGTATATAGTATTATAATTATCAGTAAGGTTTTTCACTGAATGAAATAGATCTATATCTATTAATCATTTTTTTTACTTCTCTTTTTGCCATAGAATAAATAAATTGTTACTACAGTATCTAATCTGTATTCTGCAATCACACACCTATACTGTAAGCAGTTTATTCGCGTATCTAAATGACGGTGCGTGGGTGTGTGGGTCCTTTTCTTAATTATATCATCTCCCTAATACTCTACAAATTTTCAAGTATATTATGATGAATGAATCACTGTTTCTATTGACTCCTGATCTCTGGATTTTAATACTATAATTGATGTATCATTAAAAGATACTATTAGTACTTAATGTGAAACTAAATTGTGTAGTGCTGTAAATAATCAAAGTTTCAAGTCATTTTAATACAGACTTACGAGTAATATGACATTATTTAAGATTGGTTATTTTAATTTGAAGCTTTTTTATTTTGAAAACCAAAAATTTGAATAGTATGCGTTTAATTTACTTTCAATGGAGATGATGTGTATACACTTACGAGTTAGGACACCGACAAAGAAACAATTACGACATTTTATTTTTTTGTGAATGTCAAATTTTACAGACAGTTTCTATGATTCAGAAATTTGAAAGAAAAAAAAATAACAAACAAACAAGGGAAAGAAGAGTTGATGGATATTTTCGTCAATTCAGTGTGGAGTAAGGGGGTAAAAGGAAGCGTGAGCCACACGGTATATTATTTAATGACAAAAGTAAAATGCTGATTTATTATTTATATACTAAGATTAAGGGAGCTTTATTTAGAGAATTGTGAGTTACTCTAAAATGCTCTTGTACGCTAATATGCGGTTTGTGCCAGTTTATATCTCAGATGTAGGACCCACACATCCTGAGTCCATTTTGTAGCGTAATGACCAATACCAAATAATAATTCATTAGTACCATTGATTCATTTTATTCGTATCGATAATTCTGTTTGTTTTCACTTTGTTTTTCTATTTGCGATTTGCGTTAATTTGAATTCTAAATTTAATGTTTATGGTGTAGCATCGTGGTGTGTGATTTTCTCAAAATCATGAAATGCAACTTGTAGAAATTTTTATTGTATTTTTTTTTTAAAAATGTGAAAAGGAAAATCCCTGAAATTAAATTTATACATATTACAACATATAATATAGAAAGCCATTGGGTAAAAAAATACTAGTATAATAATTTAATAATATAACATTTAATGTAGTTTGGCAGAATCTATCAAGAGGCCTTTTTGCTGTATTCCATCATTTTACAATTGGACACATTGACAAGTGTAGAGTGTAGACTAGAGAAGTTCGGGTTTACAAGAGGATTTTATTGTCTTAAAAGCAATCTTCTAACTCTAAAACTGAAATCACTAGTTTTCTTTTTCTTACATACAATTAACGAGTTCAGGAATAAAAAGGTTCCAGTTAGGACATAAAGTTTTGGAATAATATATGTTGTTGAAAAAAAAACAGTATTTTTATTTAAGTATAAGCATAAGTTAGGCAAAAGACCATGACGAAGATTGTTATTCAAAAGAGAAAATGAACCACATTACTAATAAATAAAAAAGTAACAAGCATAAGTATCTCAAATTTGTTTGCTTGTGGGAATAACAAAGTTGTATTAATTAATTTTTCATTCTAACGCAGATTAAATAAAAATAAAAAGAGAGTTATAGTCAAACCGGCTATAGGTATCTTTCGAGGGACAAAAACGTTCAAAAGAACGAAAACGAAAAAATAAGCAAGGCTTTGGGACCAAGCCAAGCTCGTACACTACTCGAAGCAAACAAAGTGAAGAGGGTTAAAATGGTAAAAAACAATTAATTCAAGCACAAGAAATCTCCTGCATCGCAGTTTAGCAGAGGCAGGTAGGACCCACATGTGGAAAAATACATAAATATAAATGGCGGAGGTTATGCTCTGGTGGTCTTCGGAGCAGTGTAAGAGCAATGATACTGACCCGTTAATCTTGCGCCACGTAAGCAGTTGTTAAAGGTGGCGATTGTCTATGGTTACGTCTACTTCATACGTGCACGTGGGTTTGACGCGGTTTGTTAGACCGGTTTGACAGTTTGAAAGACTTTACGTCAAGCATCAGATCTTTTATAAAAGAATACAAATTACCCTTTTATTTGAAAAATTATCAAAATAAATTAAACACTTAATAAGTTTTATAGGTTATGGTTTAGTTTAGAGTAACCACAAAAACGCTAAACACTCTGTCGTTTAGAGTAAGCAAACTTGAGCTAAGAATAAAGCCTACGAGCCTCTTTTCAAAAAATATCCTATGCGAGGGCTCCTTCTCCATACTTAAATCTGTACGCTAGATGATGATTGCGTTTGCGTCCATGTAAAATGATAAGCTTCCTCTAAAGAGAGATTAGGTTGGAGAGAGCGAGAGAGAGAGAGAGAAAGCAGTTATATTTACTCAGCAGAAGAACATGTTGCTTTCGACTCTCTCGTGCAGACGCGGAAGCTCCGGTACTTTCCCGTCCTCCGATACATCTTCAAACTTACTGAACTGCGCAAATTGAGCTGCTGCAAGATGAGCGTATCGCACTGGAGCCACTGAGCACAAACACACACAAAGAGTGGAGTTTTTATGTTAAGAGTTAAAGATGAAAGAAGAAGAGTTTTGCATTTTATCATAGTAAAGAGTGTTACCAATTGAGGTTGCAGTTGTGCTCCGCTGGTTGCTGGACCCAATTATTATTAGTATATTCGAATTGGCTTTTGTAAGTGAAATGCGGATTAAGGAGTAGAGAGGCTGCTTACACATAGGAGAGAGAATGGATGAGATTCTGCAAGTCATCGGGAGAGAAACCAATCTCGTCCAGTAAAACGTGATAATGAGCCGGTCTCGAAGTTCCCTGAGAGATCGCCATGGGAAGCATAATGTAAGAGAGTTTATTATAACAATACAGGCATGAGGACTGAAACTCTTTGAGGCGTGAGGACTTACTATCTTTCCTGCATGAGCACACATGTAGAAATCGTAGTTCGTCGGGTGTACAATCTTGGTGTCCACCACGGTTCCTGACAAACAAGGATTTTTTTTTTTTTTTTTAATGGTGAAACAGTTCCGGGAAAAAAAAAACTGAATCGTACAGAGACTAATGCAGAAAGAAAACTATTTTTGTTATACCTGCAGGAACATTTTCATGGCCCTTGACTTGAAACAACTTGGTGTGGTGGTTTTTCTGAGCCACGATAACAGTGAATTTCGGCACATCGGTTTCACCAAGGCGTTGGTACGCCTGCACCGTGTTTGAAATAAGCAGGCAGTCAATATAATACTGAAAACATAATTTGATAGAAGAAGCTGGAAACGGCCAAGGAACTTTGAAACGAGACCTTTATAATTTGGTCCACCTCGATGTTCAAGACTTGGTTGAACTGTGATTCACTTACTCCATCCCTAACAAGTATGCCCAAGATTGTGTAAGGATAAACTTTTAGATACTGGAGGTTGAGCAACAAAGATAAACGTTACCAGTTTTCTGCTATTACCTGAATATGATGATCTGCTTAGGCTTTCTTTTGTTGCTTGTCTTGAAAAATTCTACAAACAATTCGCTGTTGGAAACAGAAAAAATCAATCATAGAGAAGACACCTAAATATCTTATGATAACTGGTTATCAAATCACGTTCACATACTTCATGATACCATTGTCACCATTACGAGGGTCCTCAACAGGTTGGAAAAGGGAGTCAATTATCTCCAGTTTTGGTGACTGATTTCTTACAGCTGCCCTATACCTTGAGATTCTGGGCCAGCATTTTGAACCAACAACCTTGTAGCATAGGTCGATACATGAAAAAAAGTAAACAGACAAAGAATCAGATCCTAAGAGCAATGGCCGAACAAAGGGACAAACAAAGAGACAAGAAAAAGTAAGAACTCAACAATACCGCTGCTACTGAAGGAACATTTGCACGACCTGGAGACCCGTGAGATACATCCATACCCAAGATTAAGGTGGGGATTTTGTTTATCAATGGAATATCGCAAGAGTACTCTATTCCCAACAGAGAATTGATGCCTCCAAGCTAGATTAAGACAGAGTAAAATAAATAAATTTACAGAACACTAACAGCATAAGATTTCTCAAGTGTTTAGTTTGGGTGATGATGATATACCTTAGAATTTATCTTCAGAAGTACATTGGTGAAATATTGGTCATTGATCTTGGTAGGGCAGATGCATTGCGTGTTGATCCCTGCGTCAGTGAGACATACCTTCTTCCAGGGACCTTTTATAGTTTGCAAAGACCAGTTGAACGAGTGAGTTTGAATACTTGAGGTTTACACAGAAAAAGGTGAGATAATACCATAGATAACTGAGGTCTTCCGTTCAGGCAAGATACAGAGGATGAAATGAGGAGGATCCACTGGAAATTTTGACCTCATCTTTGCAATCATTCTTTCTACCCTTTCAACAGCACCCGCTTTCTTGTACTGGGGATCCTCTTCAACTAGTGCAAAAGGTCGATCAATTTCCTGTATGGTTAAAGAAACGAGATTCAGACTCTAAAAATAACCAGACATAGTTCAACACTACACACATTTGAAAACGGAGACAGTATCTGCGGAACTTACGATGCCTTTCTTCATCCCACAGCTTATGAGCTCACGGCAAATGCGACTGCTGTCGCATGGAAAAGAAAAGTTGACGACAGCCCAGTCCGTAATAGCTCTTGGTTCTAGAAGCATCTGCAGAGCAAGAAACAAGAGGTAAATTAGCAAAGGGAAATAACTAGTTTGGGAATAACAGCTTCAATCCAAACCATAAAAGGAGCAAGAACCACCTCCCCATCCACAAGAAATTAACATAGTGATTAACGGAGATCTCTGCAGACTAATTACCTTGTTGTTAAAGTTCCACCGTCCGTTGCTAGGTGAAAAATCCACATTCTTTCCAAACTTCAGCTGTGTAAACAAATGAAACAACATGGGTGTAAAAAAATTAAACTGTTCACTAGAGTGTGCATGGCAGTGCAAACCTTTCTATGCACAAACAAAACATAAATACGTTTACCATAGGGGGATTGAGAACCCGGCCTTCAACTAAAGTCATCTGTTTATCGATAGAGATGCCACATCCAGCCAAGAACGGGTTTTTATCATAGCAGTTAGCGTCCATTGCCTGCAAATTACAGCCATTAGAGATAATATGCTCTGCAAGATAGATGAAGCATCATCTGAGGTCAGGACACGAAGCTCACATCATTGAGTGTTTTGATTCTCTCTAGGGGTTTTTGTCTTGAGTTTTCAACGAGTAAAGCTTTTTGCCGCACTGACAATGCTTTTGTGTAACGTTGCAGAGATACAAGACTACAAAACTGCAAGAAAAGGAATAGAAATTAAAATATACAAGAAAACAGAAGTAGGGTAATAGAGTAAACAAAGATTAACCAAGGAAAAAACTGCTGGAGGTGCATGCATACCTCCAGTGGAAGATAGTTGGGGCGATTTGGCTTGCCAACATCAAGGCATGGGAAGTATGCAGAATGAGTAGGTTCTGTGTAAGTTTGTTTGAAATATTCATACACAGTAATCTCTTTAGTCTGTCCTTCACGCTCGCCATCTTTAATCTTCATGGAAAACCTGGAAAATGATGAAGAAAGTCAAGAAAAGGCTGATTAAGAGGACAAATTTCATATTGAATGTACAGCCATGGGGGAACATACAGTTGCTGATTGCACGGCTTCTCACTTAGACCTATAATTTTATATTCCATGTTTCGGTGAGTTGCCTTTACCCTCATATTTTTCAGCATTTTCTTGGCCTGCCAAGGTTCAATGAGAAATAAGAAACTCAAAACAAATGCAACCTCGTATGGACTCAAGTATTGCATTTAAAAGCCAGAACTACCTTATCCCAGTCTATATGTCTTGGTAGCTCAACATTCTGATTGGCTTTCAGGAATTCAATAACTGGACCCGGTTTCAGAATCATAGTTGTTGACACGTCTGCAACACATTGCAATACGAAAAACAGTTTTGAGAATTAATGGTAAAGAAGATGATTATGTAACCTTGAGATGAGAAATGTATAAAGAAAAAAATACCAATATTAAGCGAGAGTCCTCCATGGGTTGGACGAAAGCTGGAGTGGAAACCTCGAATACCTATTACGCCTTCCCCAACATCAACAAAGTTCTTATCGCTATGGAAAAATGCCTGTCTGACCAAAAGGCATCCCCTACATAGTCAATGGTTCTATTGTAAGCATCTGTCATGGTAACAAAATGTATATAATTTACCCATCTATTATATATATACCAACATAATGAAAAGATGAAGATAATCTTTGTCCATTAGAATGTAGAAAGTATCTTTTTCAGTATAATGCAGATGCACACAGATAGAACGATGCACCTTTCAGCTGCTTGCTGCCTCAGTACAGTGTCAAGCACTCTCAGTGCATCCTGAGCACTCTTATTGGGTGTATCAACTCCTCTCTGAGTGACAAGAACAGCCTTCAACGGTATTGCTGCAGCAAAATTAATTTGAACCTTGTAACTTCTTGGCAGGAAAGACCGCTTTGATCTCTTGCAAGTACCAGAAGGACTACCACCATTAGAGACACCACAGTCACTGCAATGTTAACAAGACCGCTTTTTGTATAAAAAAAAGCATCTACAAGGTCTAACTAGTACACCTTGAGAAGATTAAAATATTAAACAAGATAAGAGGAACATACCGATTTGAAAATGAACCTTCCAAGACGACTTGAAAGTCACAGTCGTTTTGTGGTAGAGGACCAACAGTGTACAAAGTCTTCTCTCCGTCATAGGCCAACTTTTTACCATCAAGATCAGAAGAGTAAGTCTTGTAAAGCTGTTCAATAAGCTTTCTGCCTAATTTTTTCCCTTCCACATTTTCGCCGTCTTCTGTGGTGATACTAACCTGCAAAAATAAAACAAAATCACGCTTTTGTTAAACATCTCTTACACACACAGAATACAGAAAAGTGACGAGAACAAATCTTACAGTGTACTGGTAAAAAACAACATCCGGCTGTCTCACAGAAACATTGTAGTGATTGGTGCACAATTCTATTCGGGTCCCTGTGCTTCCAACACCACGTCTAGATGTGATGGCATAATCTCGATGGCTGGCCTGTTCTGAATCTATACTTACGGATGGCAAAGATGAAGATTTATCCATCTTCCTGGAAAAAAAAATGATCTGCAAGAGTGAAAATTAGAGATTGGTTACAATGTGGTAAAAATATCAGCCAAAACATAAACTTCAGAGGACTCAGAAAGACAAAACACCAAATAAACGAGTGAAAAAACTCACAAATCAATTCCTTTTGGAATCCATAAAACATACTAGATTGTTATAACATGGCGAATCCAAGGAAAGAGAAAACAAATAAACAAACCAAATAGATGATAAAATTGATCAAAGATGAGTCAGTATCCTCGAAATTTCAAATAAAGCACAATAGTGGCCTAAAGCTTGTCTCTTGGTTAAAACCGAGAAGCTACTCATGTCAAGTTTCTAGTGGCAGAAGCTGCAGCCAAGAATAATCCTATAACTACATTTACACAAAGACTTATGAAAAACTACTCAAAAATAAGCAACCAGCAATGAAAATCAAAGCATCTAAATACCGGCATTTCCAGATTTCCGATGATTTTTCGTTCCGTTAAAGTCCAAGGCTTTACATTTTTACTCAGAATGTGGCATGCAGTAGCGTAACACAAATTTCAAGAGCAGATTAATGCAGCCAAAACCATAGAACAGCAGAAAAATCCAAGCTTGATGCAAGTTTTCGGAAAAGAGAAAACCCAGGATAAATAGGAGAAAGAAAAAAAACCTAGCTTTAAATCAACAACAATAAAACAGCAAGCCGGGTTTTTTACTCGAGGGAAATTTCTTCTTCTTCTCCGATTGTTTGTAATACTCTTCCTGTCGCTGATTTCCCTCGAGAAAAAACCTCGCTTGCTGTTTAATTGTTGTTGATATAAAGCTAGGTTTTTTCCCGTCGAGAAAGAATGGAGTACCTTGAGATAACTACGAATGCGAATTCTAGGGATTCGGTGAAACAAGGAGTAGTTGGGAGAGAGACGGATTAGCTCACTTCTCCTCTTCGTCAGTCTCTGTGGGTTTTCCCCAGAAAAGCAAAAGAATGGAGGGAACGTTAAGCGTGATGGAAATATTAAAATATACCCATTTTCTCTAAGTTTAATACTCTCCTAATAGAGACAAACTTGAGTATACTGAGATCAAAAATCAAACGTCGTTTGAGTATACTGTAAATCTTTTTCGTTGTTTTTGTTATTTTGTTTTCCTCTGGCGAAATGGCTGTAAGCCTGTAATCGTATTGTATAGTCTAGTAATCTCTGTTAATGTAGGTAAATCAGTTAAACCTTGATTGCATTATTTTACAGAATAAATTTAATTTTTCTAAATCTACATGATTTAAGTTTGGTATTAATTTTGTTATGTTTGATTCTTCATAAGATCGCAGGTGAATTCATTTTGAATAATGTATTTAAATATTAAAAGTTGTTTAAAGCAAATACTAAAAAAAAACTTACCACAGTCAAAACAATATACCATATATTTTTTTTTTTAACTATTTGTGTTCATTTTATGTTTCATGATTTTTAAGAATTAATATAATTTTAAAAAGTTATATATATTTTATATATTGTGATTGGTTTTTTTAAAGAAAATTATATGTTTTATGGTTTTGGAAATTTTAATTGACTATTCGTGTTCATTTGATCTCATAGAAAGAAAATTTAATTAGTTTAATGAAATTACAATTTTAAAAATTTAATTGACTATTAATTAATATGAATTCTAAAAATTATCAAAACAATAATTCCAGATTTTAATAAAAATATATATTAAAAAAAATTACAATTTTTTCCAAAAGTCCCGAATTTAATTACGATGACGAAAACCGAAAACCCCGGTTTGAGATGGACCGGTAAAATGACCCGTACCCGCATTTAAAGAAACTTCAGCCACACGCGCCAAACAAGCGCGTAGGCAAACAACGTGTAACTTTTGTATCCTCAGAAAAGAACCACCGTGGATCCCACACACCTCCAGCCTCACTCCTCCTCATCTCCGTCATTCCCACCACTCTTTCTCACATTCCGATTTTCTTAAAATTTTCCCCCATAATTATATAATACTGTCGAAGCAAAAATATCTCGCAATTAAGGAAAAAACTATGGAAGAGATTTCGACGGATCCGCTTGTCCCGGCTGTGAAACCCGATCCGAGAACATCAGCCCTTGGCGATGCTCCTCACCGCCATGAAAATGACGACGGAGGAAGCGGTGGAGACGGTGGTTTAGAGATTGGAGCTCCGGATCTAGATAAGGACTTGCTCTGTCCGATTTGTATGCAGATAATCAAGGATGCTTTCCTCACGGCGTGTGGCCACAGTTTCTGCTATATGTGCATCATCACACACCTTAGGAACAAGAGCGATTGTCCCTGTTGCAGCCAACACCTCACCAACAATCAGCTTTACCCTAATTTCTTACTCGATAAGGTTTCTTTCTAATTTTACTCAGAATCGTGTTTGCAGAGTCTGTGATATGCTTTTGTTTGTCGATCGTCGTAGCCAAGTTTTTTTCAGTAATTTTGGTGGCTTAGCTTTTCAATTTCAGTCTCGGTGCTGCTCGTTTGAGTGTTAGCTTGAAATCAAGTTCGGTTTTTGTCTTGATTTTTTTTTTTTTGGGTGGAATTAAGGAAGCTGCTTGGTGTTTAATCGAATGGCAATGAACCATAGCATTAGATTTTCAATGAAAAGATTCTATGGATAAACTTCTGTCGAGAACCTGTGTTTTCTTTTCTCCCTGAGTTAACATCAGTAGAGGTGATGATGATGCAGCGATCTTTACTACGTGATTAGAATTCGAGATGACTGTTTTGTTTTCGGTGTGTAGTTATGGTAGGATTCTGCTTATTGTAGTTAAAAGAGATAACTTTTTGATGTCCTACATGCATGTTGAACTTGAAATCGAAGCATGGTTAAAGGAACGGTAGCATCTTGAAACTGTTGATCTCTGGAATGCAGATTATTAAAACTTGATTTCGCTGTGTCACTTGTGTAGCTATTGAAGAAAACTTCAGCTCGGCATGTGTCAAAAACTGCATCGCCCTTGGATCAGTTTCGGGAATCACTACAAAGGGTCGGTTCTTGACAAGCCTTTATCTTCAGTTCCTTCTGTATACGTTGGCGTTATCAGCTTTATTATTGGAGTAAAAACTAATTCTTTCTCCAAAGTCCTTCCTTTTGATCAAATTTTGACTTCCTACGTTCATCCTTAGACAGGGTTGTGATGTGTCAATTAAGGAGGTTGATAATCTTCTGTCACTTCTTGCGGAAAAGAAGAGGAAAATGGAACAGGAAGAAGCTGAGAGGAACATGCAAATACTGTTGGACTTTTTGCATTGTCTGAGGAAGCAGAAAGTTGATGAACTAAATGAGGTTGGTTTGTCTTAATTCTGGAGTATGAGGTTACCTATTAATAATTATTCTTGTTGCTCTTTGTTCCACTGTATATTTTAGCTTCGAAGAGGTTTTTGTGGGTATATATATGCGCTGAAAGAGAGTAATTAATTATTAAAGAAGAAATACATAAACCATCATTCTATCAATATGTTGATCAAACTAATAGCGAGACATAAATCATGAATGTAATAGATGAGTTCTCAGAAATAAACAAAAATAATGGAATTTGCTATTGATGTCATCTTTTCCATCTTATTGTAGGTGCAAACTGATCTCCAGTATATTAAAGAGGATATAAATGCCGTTGAGAGACATAGAATAGATTTATACCGTGCTCGGGATCGGTATTCTGTGAAGTTGCGGATGCTCGGAGATGATCCAAGCACAAGAAACGCATGGCCACTGGAGAAGAACCACAGTGGTTTCAACTCCAATTCTATGAGCATGAGAGGAGGAAATTCATTAGGCAATTTTCAAAACAAAAAGGTGGAAGGAAAGGCACAAGGAAGCTCTCATGGGTTGCCAAAGAAGGACGCATTGAGTGGGTCAGATTCCCAAAGTTTGAACCAATCAACTGTCACAATGGCTAGAAAGAAACGAATCCATGCTCAGGTTTGTGCTTAATTGTCTATTCTTCATCTTTAAACATGTCACTTACACTGAAATGGTACAAGGACAATGTAATTGAATATTCAGATATATATCTGTTAGAGAGGAAACAAAATCGATAACATTAGACTCCAGTAATTTTGCTATCATAAGTGATGTACCAAGCCACACTTCTCTTAGTTGACTGGATCGACAGATCAAGAATATGAGGTTTTTGGTCGAATATGAATCTTCTTAAGAAGCTTTTGATTAAGGCTCACATTTTCGGTGGTTTGTATAAAAACTGATTGGTCTTAGTGTGATATATTTCGCATTGTTTGCATGTAGAAGTAGGAATAGCGTTCTGAGTTTTATGTAGCTAGGTTAGTGGTAGAAGTTGCTTCTTGTCTCTCTGGTACTGGAGCAACAAATGTCACCATATTTTCTTGACATAGTAACAGTTCTGTAAATACTATGCTCTGGCATGTAGATAGTTACAATATTTTGTAAAATTGTCCTGTATGGTCCTTTGTATATATCTGTAATGTTTGATATATGGACTTGATTGGCTAATCCCGTTAAATGTCTTGTCTTGTAGTTCAGTGATCTACAAGAATGTTACCTCCTAAAGCGGCGGCAATTGGTAGAACAACCACATATTAATCAAGAAACTGATAAGAGTGTGGTACGTAGGGAAGGCTATAGCAACGGTCTTGCAGATTTTCAATCTGTGCTGACTACGTTCACACGCTACAGGTTTTGATTAGTGACTGTCCCTTTTTAATTGGTCTAGTCGTGCAGATAATGTGTTCTCAAACTACCTGGTTTCTAATTGCACACTTATTTACAGCCGTCTAAGAGTTATAGCGGAAATCCGGCATGGGGATATATTTCATTCAGCTAACATTGTATCAAGGTGAGTTCCTTCTCCTTGTTCGTTGTATCGGATGACAGATACTGAGTGTAATTGATGAAAGAATGTCTTCTAGCTTAGTGTCTAGGAAATATCAAAATATGCCCCCGAAGTGATCAAGCTTTGTTTAATGTATGGATAGACGCAATTACTACTATGTGATCCGTTGCTGTATAAATTCTAAGCCAGTGAATGGTTAGAAGAAGAACCTGCGGACATAGCAGGGACAAGGTTTTGTGTTGTCGGCAGGCCAGTTGAAAAAATTATTCAAAAGATGGAACACAATGATGTCCTTATCTATTTCAGAAAATACGTTAAAAGGACAAAAGATACAAAAGATAGTTTTTCAGTTGCCCTTGTGGCTCCATTATCTTTCTCTCTCAATGTGCCTTGATTTATGGTCTTTCTGTAGTTTATGTGCTTCATGCTTTCTCTGAACCCTAATTCAATGACCATCTTGCTGAGACTTATACAGAGGGTGCTGTTCCTTTTCAGCATAGAGTTTGATCGTGATGATGAGCTGTTCGCGACCGCTGGTGTTTCTAGATGTATAAAGGTTTTTGACTTCTCTTCGGTACGTTCAGAACTCTTGGAGAGCATTCAGAACTCTGAATCTTCTCTTCCAGAGCTATGCTCTTGTGAAACTGATCTTGCATCTCAATTATTGGAAACCTTGATAGTGGAAACTAAGATGTAGCATATGCTGAAGAAAGTCTTGTTTTGAACTTTGATGCATGATAGCCATTTACGCTTTAGTTCTTAGTATTGCATAGATCAATGTATGTCCAGGCTTCTAAATTATCGAATTGTTAGTTTTAGTATTCTGTCTATCAATGGACTACTCGAATTAGTTGAAGATGGTGTGCATTCTTTTCAGGTTGTAAATGAACCGGCAGATATACAGTGTCCGATTGTGGAGATGTCAACTCGTTCTAAACTTAGTTGCTTGAGTTGGAATAAGCATGAGAAAAATCATATAGCAAGCAGTGATTATGAAGGAATAGTAACTGTGTGGGATGTTACTACTAGACAGGTGTGTACTTTGCCCCACTAATCCAGCATCGCGCCTTTAAGATATTTATCTCATGAACTGTGCAATGTATCTAAACTTCTATGTCAACAACTGGTGGCAGAGTCTTATGGAGTATGAAGAGCACGAAAAACGTGCCTGGAGTGTTGACTTTTCACGAACAGAGCCGTCTATGCTCGTATCTGGTAGTGACGATTGTAAGGTACCTCCAATTTTTATCTTTCCATTCATCTCGCGTAGGGCTTTGTCTTGTATGAAAAGTACACCACTTTTACAGATTGGCTAGCTCTTATAAATAACTTGGTCACGAATTTGTCAAGATTCTTTGACGAACAAAAGGAACTCGCAATGAATTCAAAACTGGAGATTTACCTGCTTAGTCATTAGTTCACTGTGTACCTGTGGGAATGGTCTTATGTTACCTTGAACCTTTATAGTGAAATAAGCTATTGTGATCTGTGTTTGAACCAGGTTAAAGTTTGGTGCACAAGGCAGGAAGCAAGTGTGCTTAATATTGATATGAAAGCAAACATTTGTTGTGTCAAGTACAATCCTGGCTCAAGCAACTACATTGCGGTATATACTTTCATGACTCCACCAATTTTTGCATCTCACATAGATTCCCCATTAATGTTTGAGCTAAACACTCATGATCAGCTTGACACTGTCACACATCTTCAGATCTAATCTTTTATTAGATTGACAGACTTAGACGTCTAAGCCTATTGACTTATTGCAGGTCGGATCAGCTGATCATCACATCCATTATTACGATTTAAGAAACATAAGCCAACCTCTTCATGTCTTCAGTGGACACAAGAAAGCAGTTTCTTATGTCAAATTTTTGTCCAACAACGAGCTCGCTTCTGCATCTACAGATAGCACACTACGCTTATGGGATGTCAAGGACAACTTGCCAGTAAGATCACTGCCCCCGAGCTAATCTTACGGATTGCATACAAAGAAACAAGTCTTGACTATGTTGTTCAATATTACTGTACTTGTTTGTTTCTCAGGTTCGGACATTCAGAGGTCATACTAACGAGAAGAACTTTGTGGGTCTCACAGTGAATAGCGAGTATCTCGCCTGCGGAAGCGAGACAAACGAAGTATATGTATATCACAAGGTTCATAAATCTAAAACCTCTGCTCCACATTAACAACACATATTCGATCTCTCGTTGCTCTAAGTGTTTGGGAATGTTAATGATGTAATGCAGGAGATCACGAGACCCGTGACATCACACAGATTTGGATCACCAGACATGGACGATGCAGAGGAAGAGGCCGGTTCATACTTTATTAGTGCCGTTTGCTGGAAGAGCGATAGTCCCACGATGCTGACTGCTAATAGCCAAGGGACCATCAAAGTTCTGGTACTCGCTGCCTGATTGTAATAAATAAATATTAAAGCTTCTTGAATCAATAAAAACAATAAATTTACCATCTATTGTATTTAGTGGGAGTTATAGAGTAAACAATTTGTCAAAAGTAAGGTTCATCATTTGGAAAGCAACTTTGTATTATAATGCTTGACTTGGACCCCTCAAGAAGAAATTGTATCATTATCTATTATAAGGTTCCTTAATTTCTATTATAGTTTTATGGGTCTTAATCAAAAATGTTGCGACTGATGAAAAGTCAAAAACTTGACTTACCTACACAGCGTCCAAACCCATGCAATACAATAAGTCATTAATATGTGTGCACATAGCAATATCATTGAGGAACTTTTTGTTTTTCATTTTTATACTGTTAAATCCATGATAATTGAAGATTTTGTGTCATGACTGGTATTAGTACTTAATTGCTCTAATGTAAGTCACAACGAAATGTGATTGTCTTAATTAATATTGTAATAGTAGTCATTTTATATTTGGATACGCAACTTTGAGATGGCATGTAGTAAACGAAGATGCATGCTTTAATAAGTCTGAATCCCTTAGCCAAACATTTCCAAGTTTTTAAGTCCTAAAAACATTACATACTTCACTTGCGTATCCTAGTCATTATAAACAATGAGGTGGCTTAATAAAGTAATTGCTATTTACAGTTTTTTTCTAATTCCCTAAGTTACAAGTCTTTGACCTTGTATTTTGTAGTTAAATAACTCAAAAACCTCTTTGAAAAAAAAAAACAACGACTTTTTCACAACGAGGGGGACACATTGATGTGTTTCTTCCCTTTAAGCAACCATATCCATCAAAGTACGTCTGTCTTTTCACTTCCCCCCTCCGATCCATATTGAATAATGAGACATTTACGGATTAACACATTTTCAAAAATTTATTTACATATTAAGGTACTTGTGGGTATTAAGGCACTTTGCCTTGCTTTTTGCCACATAATATGTCTACTGTACCCTTAATGAGAATTGTTTATTGTTTTAATTTATAGAAAAATTAACTAAAAATTGTGACCATAATTGATAACAAAAAATTGTATAGTTTATGCTTCCTTCTTCTTCTATCTTCTTTTTTTTTTTTTTTTTCTCCTTCGTCCCCTTTTTCTAATTCTACTAAGATTTGTTTCAAAAAAAGCTTAAAAAGTGAAATTTATGAGTTTTGTGGTCTGCAAATTAAACACAATTCTGGATATTTTTAACAATATAACAATGTTTCGACCAAGCACGGCAGCTTGTATTTGTTCGATGAACCGATTGGAGATTTAAAGAAAAAATAAGGGTTGATGAAATCAAAGATGTTATCATGGGCAGCTGGTTTGATGAAGGAGAAAGGTCGTGAGAATGGAAGACGTGTACATTATAGGTAGGTGTATATGGATAGAGTTTTATAGATATTGTTTCGATGATGTGTACACTATTTAAATACATAGTTTGTGAATCATGGACGGCTCTGGCTTCTAAATTATGGATGAGGTACTTGATATGACATATAGATTATGAATCATGTACGAGATACATGACATAAAATCGTATATGATTTGAATGGACTAAGTGTTGATGATATGGATGGGTGAATATGGATGAAGTTACTGATATGAAAAGGTAAATACGGATAGTGTTTTATGGATAATGTTTTGATGATGTGTACAACAGTTTGAACACATAGATGATAAATCGTAGACGCATTTATATAAATGAATTTTATTGATGGTGTTTAGATGATGTAATATATGATGACAGTAGAAATTCTTTTTATACTAGATCGTAGGTGAGATAATTTGGTAATGAAACCTTGACCAATTTGTACAATAAGTGTAGTCAGTGTGATGGATAGGCTAAAATGAATGTGAAAGTTTGTTACAGATCATAGTAGAATTGTCTCGTACATACGAAACTAGTTTTGTGGACAGTATTTGCTTCGCGGTGGTAATATGTTGCATAGGGTCATGGTATGTGTACAAATGTTACGATCATAGTAGAATTATCTCGTACATATGATGATTGTTTTGTGGACAGTGTTTGGTTCTCGTAAGCAGAGGTTAGGACGAGAGTGATGGATGCAAGTAAGTGGACAACAACAGAAGTGAATGGATGGCAGTGAGGAAAGAAATCAAATGGATGCGAAATGATGGATGCATTATATTTAATGCTAGCGAATGGATAACAAGATGGATGGCAAAAATAGATGCATGTGAATGGATGGCAAAGACAGATGAATGGGCATGGATGGTAAAGATGGATGCATGTCTAAGGACAGCAAAGATGGATGCTTGTGGATGGCTAATGATAAGTGATTATATGATGGTGTGGACGGTATTAATATGTACGAGATTTATGGATGCATTTTACATAGGGTCTGTAATGTTCAAAGTGTTAATTGAGAATATTTTATTGTGATAATTAAACGCATAGTAGAAATTTATAACAAATGTGGTAGAATGAGTTAGATGTATGAATTTTATATGCTCAATGTGGATAAACTTTAGGGATGGTCTTTGTGGATAGTCTATATGGGGATGCTTTATATGTTATATATGCATGCTATGTATGGATGCCTTATATAGATGGCCATCTATGGATATGCCGAATGGATTCATTAGAGACGAGATGGTAGATGCGAGATGAGATTATGATATACATATAAAGGTAACATTAAGCTAACTAAATAATAATAACATTGAATCAATTGATGTTAACCATGCATTTTACAGCCAAAATCTATCTCAAGCTAATAAAAGTAAGAGACATTTATGAATTTAGACAAAATTGTAAGGCAACGAGTTATTGACGGTGATGATTTGTTTGCGAAAACCTCGCATGGTGAAGCTTGGATTTGGAGTAAACGTTGAACCGAGCCTTGGTGAATCTATTGGTAGCAAATAAGCGTGTAGATAGACGAGTGTCCCACTCATTGTTGTGTTCAGAGCCTGCACGATACATATTTGAAGCGTAACAGTTAGTAGGATCGTATGTATGAATGGATGTTGCAGGATAAGCTCGATGAGTGAAATGCATCTATTTGGTGAAATTATTATATACATGGATGACCTAGATAGATGTACTACATGGATGCTTTGTATGGATGTTCGTAGATGGATGCTTTACATGGATTCTCTGTATAGATGCTCTACATGGATGCATTACATGGATGCTCTACATGAATGCTCTGCACAAGCTCTGTATGGATGCTCTACACAAACTATGTATGGATGCTCTATGCAGATGGATGTACCATATTTGTTTCCTATATGGATGCATTATATGCAATATGGTGGATGAGAGATGAAAACAAGTGAGAACAATGTGAACAATAGATCATTAAAAAAATGGATGAGATTAGACATGGTGGATGGGCATGAACGAGAACATTGAACCCACATGATGTTATCAGTAAAGGCCCACATGATGGATGAGTCATGGTGGATGAGATGTGATGGACGCGTAATTGATTTTGGTGAACAGTGAACCAAAACGTACGGAAACATTAAATGTTTGTAGAGATGTATATGGATGGTGTGGATGGTTAGCTTAAATGGATAACTTAAATGGATGGATGGCATAGATGGATGTCATAGATGGATAGCTAAATGGACGCGATATGGTGGATGCATAGATGAAATCAAATCTTATTAAACAACATATAACCCTATAAATTAGTGAGAGAAAGGCCACAAGATGGACATGGTGGATGAGAAATGATGGATGCATAAATGAACTCAGATCTGACTGAATGATATGCACTGTGTCGAACCCTAGAAATAATTCAGTGAAAGGCCGCACAAAATGAATTGGAGACTGTGAAAAATATCAAAACGAAATGAACAACAGCGATCCGTAAATTTGAGGACAGTGAAAGCCCCGTTAATCATTACGAGAAGGCTTACCTGCCATTCTGACGATGTCAACATTGTAGGAATTGATTTGTAGTGGAATTTTAGACCGACATAGTGGTTGAACTCCAGCAGTATAGTAAAGAGTAGATCTAAAGTTTTGTTATATTGAATCTGAGATAGCGTAGATTAAGAGTTTGTCGTAAATCAAAGACACTGATGCGGAGGATGCTGAAGAAGTCTGGTATAAATACTCGACAAGATAAATGGAAAACAGTGGATCTCGAATTAGGGCGACGATGATTCAATGGCAGTGCTAATGGTGTTCTAAATTCAACGGCGCCGTCAATGATTTCTTAAAAAAGATCATAATTATTACGAAATCGTAAATTGTTTAGCTAGTCAAAATATAGATGACATAATAAAAAGATATGAATATCTTTTCCTCTTCTGAAAGTGTGTTAATGTATCAAAGTGTCTTAAATTGTTATTATACTTTGAACAAGTACCTCTCATCGTAATTTTCTCTTGAAAAATCTCATATAGTAAATCAAATGTTCAAAAAAAAAAAAAAAAACCTCATATAGTATACATCTCATGAACTTATAATTGCGTATAGTATGCATCTCATAAACTTCTTTTTTTTAGAGAAAATATGCATCTCATAATTCATAAACTTAAAACCAGCCTTTAACAAAAATAAAATAACTCTGAACTACAGCTTGGCTTATTATATGGTAATTTAATTAGAAATCGATAAAACGGAATTAGCAATTTATATATGAAACTGAAATATGGATAAGGTGGTCCGTATTCTATATATCTGTTGTTAATTTGGAATTTATATCATTGCTTTTTGGAAACACACAAATTATGATCACGTAAGTCAATAAACATGAATTAACAATTTCATTTCCTTGGACTATAGTTAGATAGGCACAGATTTGGATTTTTCGTTATTATGGTAAAAGCATATCGTTTCACGTTAGCCACATATATTTTCCCAAGTCCACATCGCAATAATTATCAATATTATGTAGGTCGAGTTACGCAAGCATATCTATGAAATCGAAATGATATATGTATATTCTTTTATCATTCACAAACCATCGTGTATTGGTGTGCCTAGATTTATAATTTCATATTTTATAATTAT